AGGTGATATGTTTAAGGTGTTTAAGTATCTTCATGGGCAGAGAACCTAGTGGATAAAGCCCCTAACAAGAACCAATGGCTGGAAGTTGAAGCCAACGAAACAAAGAAGAAGTAAGGCACAATTTTTTAATAGGGAAGGTGGAACAAACTACCAAAGTAAGCTATGGATATTCCATCTGTTGTCTTCAGATCAAGACTGGATGCTTTACCCAAAGACAGGCTCAACCTCAGGGTAACTGCATGAGAGTTAATGGCCTGCAAGATCAGATTAGATGATCTAATGCCCCCTTTTGGCCTTAAACTCTGTGGAACTATATACAGTCCAGGTATGGTAGCTCCTATTATAGTCTGTGTGTGTGCACATGCATACACCAGTGGGCCAAATTCAGAGATCATTGCAATATACTCTCATACCTTCCAATCCCTTCAGTTTGTAAATTGGATCTGTTAATCTCCCTTTGTACTGATTTATACCACTGAATCATCTCTAAAGAGGATTAATCTACCAACTGGGTGGCCACATGAGAGAGAGAGAGACAGAGAGAGCAAGAAAAACAGGAGGATGTATCAAGGTATTAGTGAAAATACTGCAGTTTTTATGACCAAAAATGTTCATTGCATCATAGGAAGCAATTGGCAGAATGGCCCAATTGCTCTCCCCAGAACTCTGATAGGGGTCCATTGAGCAATGCAGATAGGGCAATAAAATAGGTATCTGGCTCTAGTTGGGTAAGGCCTAACTTGCCCTCAGGAGGAAGATATGACTGTGACAAGGGTGTGACTGCCACTCTCCCCACTTCAAGCTTCTCAGATCTAACACGCTTATTTACAAAATAACTGGTATGATATGGAGAACACAAAGAGATTTAAATGAAATGTGGGAACCATTTAAAAATTATATCGAGAAAAGAGAGTACATACAAAAGTGCAGTGGGCCACAATGTACACTACATGTACATGCACATCAGTTATTCATAGAATCGTAGGACTGGAAGGGACCTCGACAGGTCTATCTAGTCCAGTCCCGTGCACTCATGGCAGGACTAAATATTATCTAGACCAGGGATCGGCAACCTTTGGCACGCGGCTTCTCAGGGATATCCGCTGGTGGGCCGGGCCGGTTTTTTACCTGCAGCATCCACAGGTTCGGCTGATCGCAGCTCCCACTGGCCGTGGTTCGCTGTTCCAGGCCAATGGGGGCTGCGAGAAGCGGCGGCCAGCACATTCCTCAGCCTGTGCCACTTCCTGCAGCCCCCATTGGCTTGGAACAGCGACCTGCGGCCAGTGGGAGCTGCGATCAGCCGAACCTGCAGATGCTGCAGGTAAACAAACCGTCCTGGCCCGCCAGCGGATTTCCCTGATGGGCCACGTGCCAAAGGTTGCCAATCCCTGATCTAGATCATCCCTGACAGGTGTTTGTTTAACTTGCTCTTAAAAATCTCCAATGACACAGATTCCACAACCTCCCTAAGCAATTTATTCTAGTGTTTCACTACCATGACAGGAAATTTTTTCTAATGTCCAACCTAAACCTGCCTTGCTGCAATTTAAGCCCATTGCTTCTTGTTCTATCCTCAGAGGTTAAAGAGAACAATTTTTCTCCCGCCTTCTTGTAACAACTTTTTATGTACTTGAAAACTGTTATCATGTCCTCTTGCAGACTTTTCTTCTCCAGACTAAACAAACCCAATTTTTTCAATCTTCTCTCATCGGTCATGTTTTCTAGATCTTTAATAATTTTTGTTGCTCTTCTCTGGACTTTTTCCAATCTGTCCACATCTTATTGAGTTAGAAAACAAGGTTTACCGGGAATCTACTTTTATTCTCCCATTTATTCATTGTCTGCTCTTGGGCTAAGGTTTGGAAAAGAAAAATGGTTAAATGTTTTTATTTAATTTTTTTAAAAGAAAATACTTAGATTTTTGTGATGCTTTATATGTTCAAAGCACTGTACAGCACTGTACACACTTTTATCGCCAATTTACAGAGGGGTAACTGAAGCCAAAAAGACAAAGGCCCAGATCCTCAAAGGAATTTAGGTCCCTAACTCCCATTGATTTCAATGGGACTTAGGTGCCTAAAAACTTCTGAGGATCTTGGGGATTTACCCACGGGTGCCCAGTACATTAGTAGCAGAGGTGGGATTAGTACTCAGGAGATCCTGACTCCCAACACCGCTCATTGCTTCAGCCTACATTTTGTAAAATGCTTTGCCGTACCAAATGCCACATTTGTTAGTGTTTTGTGTTCAGTAGAGATGTGGATCTTACATAAGAAATCTTGCCCCTAGACAACGAGAGGGAAGATATGGACATACAGAAAAGACACCCACCAAGAAAATAGCTATTGTAAAGTAAAGCCATTAAGCCTCAATGAGCTGTCCTGCCCCTGCCTAAGATTCTCTATTATTCAACTGCACTAAATGCTCTGTTACCTTCAGGGTGCCGACAGTTTCATCACTGAAATCAGGCTTAGCACACCTATACATATGCATACGTTAGTTTGAAGAGAGGCATTCAAAGGTCTTATGATGACTCCCTGTTGAGTCATATAGCCTACTCCTTTTGTTGAAATAAGAAATGATTTCTTCAGCCACTTAAACTTAAATGCCAGTAACTTTCTCAGCTTCAATGATTGGGACTGACAAGAATGAATATATTTAGCTGCCTTAGCCAAAGTAGTGATGACAACAATTTTCGTGTCTTCCATCATAGCAAAAACAGTTTCAATATCAATTTACGTTATTTAAATTCAACTTGCTATTTGTTACTTGTTCAGTTTCCAAAGCTTTCGTTCTTCCCATTCTCAGATCACAGCAATGTACTAAATGTCTTACTATTTACAGATTCCTCTTTTCATTCTAATGGGATCTTCATTTACTATTTCAGTTTAACCCTCTCATGAGTGGAACGTGATCACAGGAACTGCTGTAGCCTGATTTTTCAAAGGTGCAGGCTTCCTCCGTGCATGTACCTGAACCGCCCCTCGCCCCTTGATTTCAATGGGTTGTTGAGTGCTCAAGCAGTTCTGAAATGGAGCCATTTGTGCACCACCACAACACCCCAGGATATGTGAGGACAGGAAGTAAAGATCAAATTGAAACTGGAGCAGGAAGCATTAACTATCTGTACTTTTGCAAAACATTCCAGGAGATTTTTGATGACTGCTAATGCTGCCCTGACTCTCATTTTTTTAGGAACCCTATGTTCCTGTGAGTAACTGAAGTGGCATAATAATAAAAAAGACTTTGACAGACTCATTGAAACTCACCCTAGCGTCCTTCCAGACATAGCTGCAGTTCTGGATGTCCCTCTGAGTATATTAACTATTAAAATCACCAAACTTGGCTGCAAATATTAATAGAACAAATATACAATAATATTGGAAAGGTGTTTGAACAACAACAAAGGCTAAATGGATCGTGTGTCTCCATGAATCTGAAAGTTGAATGTGAATTTAATGGAAATCCCTGTCTAGTGAATTTCTGCTCTTCTAAATGTAACCTCATCCCTCTCTTGCCCTCTTTTTTAAAGTTAGAGCAGAGAGGTCTAAAATAATTGAATTTTGTGGTATTGGAGTGCAAGTTCTGACTGATCTGTAGCCCTTTCCATGATCTAATATTTTTGGCGACAGTCATGAAGGTTCAGGATTAAATCTTTGGAGTGAAAACTTGACCCTGTTGAAGTCAATGGCAAAGCTACTGTTGACTTCAAAGGGGTCAGGATTTCACCTGTGAACTTGTTAGTAACCGGTGTGGTCCTACCTGGTTTCCCCTTTTCCACAGACCTCAATCTTAACAAATTGTTAAGCAAGGTTTGCTTGCACCAAACTGTCTCCTCTTTCAGTATTTTCAGACACCTCTGGGTTATGATGCTTCTTTTCTCTCATTTTCCATTTTTCTCTTTCTTAGTCTCTAAGGTGCCACAAGTACTCCTGTTCTTTTTGCGAATACAGACTAACACGGCTGCTACTCTGAATCCTGCAGCACTGCTACTGTCCCCTCTGCCTCTGGTTCCTCCTACTGCACTTTCCAGCACAGTGACTCTGTCCTCCAAATCAGCAACTTATTTCTCCTCAGCCAGAACTTTGAGATATAGACCAGTCCTTAGTGCCCAGGTTCCACAAAGTCATTCCCAGACTCAAGAGACAATTTTCTTTTGTTTTTGCTTTTAATTTTGACTTAATTTGCAGTTCTTTGAGTGATTGCTCATGTGCATTCCATAACAGGTGTGCATGCTCACCACATGCACCAGTGCCGGAAGTTTTTCCCCTAGCAGTACCCGTAGGGGAGCGCTCCTAGCGACCCCTGGAGTGGCACCGCCATGGCGCAGTATAAGGGGCACTGTGTGCTCCCTCCACCCTCAGTTCCTTCTTGCCACCAGTGAAGATGCTTTGGAACTGCTGTGCTCCAGCCCTCTGCTGTAGCTTTCCCTGTTTCGACTGTCGTTTAGTTCGTAGATAGTTAGTACCTGTAGTCTAAAAAAAAAAAAAAAAAGTTAGTTATATAGATAGAGTAGAACAGTGTTTCTCAAACTGGGGTTGCCACATGTGTAGGGAAAGCCCCTGGAGGGCCGGGCCGGTTTGTTTACCTGCCCCGTCCGCAGGTCTGGCCGATCGCTGCTCCCACTGGCCGCGGTTCGCTGCTCCGGGCCAATGGGGGCTGCTGGAAGCGGTGCGGGCCGAGGGATGTGCTGGCTGCCGCTACCAGCAGCTCCCATTGGCCCGGAGCGGTGAACCACGGCCAGTGGGAGCTGCGATCGGCCAGACCTGTGGACGGGGCAGGTAAACAAACCAGCCCTGCCCGCCAGGGGCTTTCCCTACACAAGTGGCAACCCCAGTTTGAGAAACACTGGAGTAGAAGAACCGCACCCGGGTCGGGGCAAGCCCCGCGCCCGGGTCGGGGCATGCCCTGCGCCCCAGGCTTTAAGTTGTGCGACACTTGTAAACGGCCTATGCCTATAACCCGCACACTAGCCTATAACCCGCACCTATAAGCCTATAATGGCCTATGGCTATGACCCGCACGCTAGCTGCTTACGCTGTCTTGGGGAAACCCAAGTCAGTGACCGCTGCAAAATTTGCAGATCATTTAAGCCTTGGACTAAGAAGGAGCAGGACATGCGGCTCCAAGCCATATTGATGGAGTCGGCCCTAACCCTGACACCACTCTGCCTCTCCGAGTTGGCACCGAGCACCGTAGCATCGGTGCACGGCAACCCAATGGTGCCTTCCACCAGCCAGCACCACTCCCCATCCACAGGGCACTCTAAGAAGATGAAGAAGCAGTCTTCTCTGTCAAGGCACCAGGGCAAGGCTGGGGGTGAGACCAGACCCGTGCTGTGCAGCTCTCGATCCCCCTCAGCCTCACGATCTCTGACTCAGGTAGAGCGGAGTAGCCCAGCCCACTCTGAGCCGACCTCCCCGGACGCCAATGGCCACATACGGGTGCCCTCCACACCAGAGGCCCTGCAGGTGGCTCAAGACATAATGTCTCTCCCAGTACCAGCTGCACCGACTGCAGCGGCTCCCCAGTCCAGAGGCAAGCCAGCGCTTGGACTGCCACAGTTGCCACCCAGGCGGTACCACTCATAGTCGAGGGAAGGTTCCTGACACTGTTCTCCGCAGAGTGACGACGCCTCTCGCAGCCCACATTGGTCCCCGTCGACCCCCACCCAATTGTCTGGCTGGGTGCCGAGCAGCAGGGAATCGAGAGACCACTCCACATCGAGGGAGCTCAGGCCTAGAGGTCAGAGCATGCCCCGCCGGGACTGGGGCCGACAGTACTGGAGATCGCCGACTCCGAGAAGCCACCGTAGCCCCTCACAGTACAGACGTCGACACTGCTCACACTCTTCATCCTGGTCAAAGTCCCTGGCATGGCATCGCTCCCGCAGCCCCAGGCATAGATCGCCGGCAACCGGCCATCGCGGATCTGCCCGACGGAGCCGTTCATGGAGCAGCTGTTACAGGTGGTACTCCCGCTCCTCTACACCGGCCTCAAGGTCTCGAGCCTGGCACCGCTCATGACAACGCTACTCGTCAGTTGCTCATATGCCAGCCCAGCCTCCCCTCGGAGCCGACAGTCAGTGGACCAGGTGAGTCCGACGTGGCAGCCCGCCCAGACGGTGCCACAGCAAGTGCAGTGGCACCAGGCTCCTTGGCCAACGTCCTGGTACCAAAGGTGGTGGCTCACTCAGTGGCCGGGGCCTTGGACAGACCGTTCGCCTCCCTCTCTCAACACCCCCAGGAAGGGGTCAGCGGAATGCTCTTCCCCAGCCCCGCGCTCAGAAGGGGACCAAGCGCTGGGATCTGCAGCACCAGTGGGAACCTCCCCTGATGAGGCCATCATGGCGCCTCCTCCTCCTGTTCCCCAGGAGGACACAAAAGCCCAGCAAGAGCTCTTGAAAAGGGTGGCTTCAAGCCTCAGTCTATAGGCTGAAGAGGTGGAGGAGCCTTCGGACTCCCTCTTTGGCATCCTTTCAAAGAACTCCGGGCGATCTGTCTGGCCTGCATGGCCTTTCACTCGTGCCTTACGGGTAGGGTAGTCAGAGTTCTCATGGACAACACGGCCTCGATGTTCTACATCAACAGGCAAGGCGGGGCCAGCTCCTCAGCCCTCTGCCAGGAAGCCCTCCGGCTCTGGGACTTCTGCATCACCCATAATATCACCTTGGAAGCCCACCACTTACCGGGCATCCGGAACTCTCGAGCGGATCGCCTGAGCCGGGACTTCTCCTCCCAGCACGAGTGGTCGCTGCACCCGGAGGTGGCTCACATGATCTTCCGAACGTGGGGCACTCTCCAAGTGGACCTCTTCGTGACCAGGCAGAACCGCCTGTGCCCTCGGTTCTGCTCCAGGAGGGGCCTGGGCAAGGGCGCGATTTCCGACGCCTTCCTTATGTCCTGGTCGGGTCAGCTTCTCTATGCCTTTCCCCCAGTTCTGCTGATCAGCAAGGTCCTGGAAAAAGTCAAGGCAGACAAGGCTCGTGTCCTCATGATCACCCTAGCATGGCCCAGGCAGTACTGGTACGGCACTCTGATGAGCCTGTCCATTGCCCGCCCCCCGTGGCTGCTGTCAACCCGCCCAGACCTTCTCTCTCAGGACCAGGGTCGCCTCCGGCACCCCAACCTTGCAGCCCTCCACCTCACAGTGATTGCTCTATGGCTAGGCCAAGAGGAGAGGACCTGCCCAGAGGGAGTCCAGCGAGTCCTCCTGGAAAGCAGGAGGCCCTCCACACATCAGGCCTACCTGGCGAAATGGTCAAGGTTCTCTTGGTGGGCCACTGATCGCTGTGTCTCACCAGTGGCTGCCCCACTCCAGCTTATACCGGATTACCTCCTTCATCTCAGAGCCCAAGGCCTAGCGCCCTCGTCCGTCAAAGTGCATCTGGCAGCCATATCGTCCTTCCACCCACCAGTCCAGGGCAACACAGTATTTTCTCACACCATGACCAGTCAATTCCTTAAGGGCTTGGATCGCCTCTTTCCTTACGTTAGGCCCCCAGTCCCAGAGTGGGACCTGAACTTGGTTCTGGCCAAGCTGACAGGGCCTTCATTTGAGCTGCATGCCACATGCTCTTGGTCCCACCTTTTGTGGAAAGTAGCCTTTCTTGTGGCAATCATGTCTGCTAGGAGGGTCTCGATCTCCAGGCCCTGACCTCCGAATCCCCGTACAAGGTATTTCATAAAGATAAGGTCCAGCTCTGCCCACACCCTTCGTTCCTCCCTAAGGTGGTCTCCGCCTATCATATGAGCCAGGACATTTTCCTTCCAGTGCTTTGTCCCAAGCCCCACGTGTCTAGTGAGGAGCGCTGTCTTCACATGCTGGATGTGAGATGGGCTCTGGCTTTTTACCTGGAATGAACAAAACCATTCAGGAAGTCTTCAGAGCCGCTCATTGCCACGGCCGAACGCATGAAGGATTGACCAATCTCCACTCAGCAGCTCTGCTGCTGGATCACTTCATGTATCCATACATGTTACGACTGGCGGGAGTTCCCCCGCCACCGATTGTGAGAGCGCACTCGAGAAGAGCGCAAGCCTTGTCGGCCGCCTTGCTGGCTCACATCCCTATTCAGGACGTTTGTAGGGCTGCTACATGGTCATTGGTCCACTCGTTCACCTCGCATTATGCAATCGTCTCCCAGACCAGGGAGGACGCCGGGTTCGGCAGGGCAGTGCTCCGTCCCGAGTGTCTGTGAACTCCTACCCACCTTCAACAGATATAGCTTGGAATCACCTATTGTGGAATGCACATGAGCAATCACTCGAAGAAGAAAAGACAGTTACCTTTTCCGTAACTGGTGTTCTTGGAGATGTGTTGCTCATGTCCATTCCACATCCTGCCCTCCTTCCCCACTGTCGGAGTTGTCGGTCAAGAAGGAACTGAAGGTGGGGGGAGCGTGCAGCATCCCTTATACCATGCCACTCCAGGGGTCACTAGGGGCGCTCCCCTACGGCTACTGCTAGGGGGAAAACTTCTGGCACTGGTGCACGTGGCAAGCACGCACACCTAATCTGGAATAGACATGAGCAACACATCTTGAAGAACACCAGTTACGGAAAAGGTAACTGTCTTTTATTTATGGGAGCCATTTCTTCACTGGCAGACAGACTCCTTCTCACGCTGCAACCTCCCATCCTCTGCACAAAAATAGCTCTTTAAATGTTGGGATTTTCTTGTGATACTCCACTACTTGCACCTTGCACTCTGCCTAGTCTGGGGATGCAAGTTCAGGGGTTGATAGAGACACCCTCCTGTTATCCCATCAGGATTCAGGCCTCAGGCAGTCCTCTTATGTCAAGCTCCAAACTGGTCCCTGTGCTCTTGCTTTCCTGTTACGTTTGTTTGCTTACTCACCAGCAGAGTCAATCAGATTTTTTTCAGAATAAATGTTTGCTCTTTTTTTTAACCAGCTGCACTCAGTAATTCACAGAATTTCAGTCATTTGCAATGGCTCTGCCCAGGGCCGGCTCTGGCTTTTTCGCC